AGAGCGTCGGTATCCAGTTATCAGGCCGAGGTCATCGACCAAAATGATGAGATTGACGATAAACTGGAGGTGCACGAGGAGAAGATTCTGGAGGAGGATTGCTGCCTGAAGGAGATGATGGACAGAAAGATTCGCGTAGAGAACAAGCTTCTTTCACTAGAAGATAATTCCGAGACGGCGCTGAATTCCTGCAAAATCGCGGAAGCTGACGGTGGGTTAGTCGATCGGTCAACGTGCAGGTCCAACTCCCTGGTCACGTGGCCAAGGATACCGACCGAGAAGGAGGCGCCGATGGAGGCCGAGGAGGAGGCGCCAGACGAGCCCGGCGAGCCGGCGAAAATCGATTACAACGATAGCTTGAAGATCCTCGACGCTCTGAGAAACACGCCAGGACTCTCGGTGTCTGTGACGAGAAACCACACGCCCGAGATTAGCAAAAATCTAATTGTATCACCCGCGCGGCCGCCCTCCAAGGCGTCCTCGTCGAGCAGGTCGCCGGATTCGCAAGCGGAATGTGTCGAAAAGCTACTGAAGAACTCGAACAACTTTGTAAACGACAATGGCGGACGCATAAGCTCGCCTCGCAATTTACCGGGCCTGTCGATCATCATACCGAGCTATTGCTACAGAATTGCCTCGGGTCAGCTGACGACGACGACCTCGCCGAGTACGAAACGTCGCGTCGAATCGCCCGAGAGTACTGTCAGTTTTAACAAGGCAGACACGTATCCAGAGCAATTAAAGCTGGACGGATTTCCCCACGAAGAGGACGAGGACGAAGAAGAAGACGAGGACGAAGACGACTGCGACTCACAGGTCTTGGAGGATCTTAGACGGCAGAAGGCGGACTCGCTGGCGTATGACACTATCGATGCAGATTACTACAACAAGCCCGGTTCCAGAGTCTCTAATCAGGAAGATCGCAAAACCTCGCTGGAGAACATGAAGAACGATTCGCTCGTGATCGGATCCAGCAGAAGCAACGAAGCGCAAGCCAAGTGTAAATATCAGGATCTCGAGCATTTCGACGAGCAAGTCTTAGAGGAACTACGGTCACGCGGCACTGTAGTTTCTCCTCAGCCTAGTGGAATTCCTTGCTCCCCCGCATCGCGAAGACCGTCATCGGCATATCTCGAGAGGTTATTGCCGAGTCCGCCTTGTTCAGTTTCCTGCTCGGAAGACGCCAAGAGTGAGTTGACACTGAAGAGCATCCTAGCCTCATCCAGTTGCGTCGAGCCGCGAGAGTATGAGAGATCAAAGGTCCTCCTTTCGGGGGGAGCTTCGACGCTATTCGATCAGAGTGTCGAGCCTGTTTCTCGACCCGTGCATTCGAGCGTCGATAAAAACGTGAGGAGGACCGGCAATCAGCGCAGCTTCCAAGAACGCCTGAACGTTCACAGTCAGGAAACGAGAAACTCCGGTAGGCCGATGTCCAGCGGTGACATCCACAGCACCTTTTACACGATGGCGGATCGCGTCGCGCCCAAGAGGCCGATGTCTGTCGAGTGGCAATCGACCGGACAACGACAGAGAGCCAACCAGATTGGTTGCTACCAAAAAACCATCACTAAAACGAAGAACCACTTTACCAATCGCCAAAACCAAAATCAGATCGCCTGCGCCACGTCTAGCAGCACGGACAAACTCCTGGATCCGGCCAGTCAGTTACGCGAACTTATCGAGACCGTCGGTCATCTGATCCCCGATCCTCTTCTGGTCCCCCGCGATTATCTACCGAGTTTAGCCGCCGCGCCCGCGACGGAGATCCCCAAGTTATTGGCCAGTAGACCCGAGCTGAGGCTACCCGAGGCCCTCACCAGGCCCGATCTGCTCCGGGATCCCGATCTACTTGTGATATCGCTCGCGCATCTCCAGCACGTGCTGGATCACGGTGAAGGCCCGGTTTCAAGAGCGCAACCGCAACAACCCAGGGCCGTTAACGGCGTTAATGGCATCGTTAACAAGGGATCGTCCGGTCACACCAACAACAACGGCGCGAGAGGCGGCGGGTCCGTCACCGGCAGGCCCAAACTCAGCTGTAAACCGATCGGCACGTTGATGCCGGCGCAGCCGATTGATCTCTCGAGCGGCGCGAGCCGGTCACGCATCAATCCCTATCCGCCTCTGCTCAGGGTGCGCAGCGGATTGCTCAAGCAGGAGCCGGAAGTGAGTTCCACCGCGACCTCGCCGGACGAGTCGCAGCTATGGCACCCGTTATTCGGCAGGTAAATTTTTTCACGTTTGTTTTTTCTTATTCTCCTAACATTGAGATGTCAAGCTTCCTTTGCTTATTCATTAAGTAATAACTCTGACAAATGAGCGAAAAAAATTAAATGATTCATCACATAGATAGTAAAAAATACGAAAAGTGTGCGTATAACAAAGAAAATATGCACTTGGAAATATTCAGTAGACATCAGTGTGAAATCTAAAAATAATTTTGCTTAATTAGAATTTTACACTCAAAAAAGTGGTATTGCAACCACAGCAAAAATTTTCTGGGTGCGCAAAATTAACTGAGGTACACATAAATGATTAGCAAATACTGTGATATCGCATATGTTTCGCATTTAATCAATCTAAGTGACAGAGACAGAATTTATATCTGAACTGTTTGTGAAATTTAGAAAGAATGTTTTTCTGTGGCGCCTATCCATGTTAAGGCCAATCATACTCGTTATAAAGTTTGGCTGTGGTACACAAAAAAAATTAGCGGCAAGAAACAAATAAATATATAATCCTCACATCTAACATATTTGTATAACGCGCCCAATCTATCCAGCTCTTTTAAACAATTTCTCTCAATTTTTCGATGCTGCAGTTATAATTGGCAGTTATATTTCTCACAAAGAGTGTTCTAGCTGTAGTATCGAAACTCATATTTATCCAATGCAGTGATTAACATTTGGCAATGGGACCTAAATTTTCTAGAAGATATTATTAGAATATTGCTGCTATAAATTCTATATGTAACAGACAATATTCTAACAGATACAAAAAATAGCGATAAATTTTTGTTGTGACACCTAGAAATCTACCTATATCAGCAAGACATTTTTTTGAGTGTATACAAAAATATATTTTATATAGATCTCCTCTCAAAGGAAAATTAATATATAATCTCTGTTTGTTTGAAAAATAAAACACAATTGATGTTAATAGAGTATATGTTAAAATTATCCACTTTCCAATTGAATCACGTATCTTTTGAAGTAAACAACTCAATTAGCCATGCTAAGAATATTCTATGCTCATCGATTTGATGATTAGTCTCATCAGTTTGAAAATTATGGACGCATAATGAACTTGTGAGTGGTCGAGAAACGATGGGAATAATGCATTTGATATCGATAGCGGTGATTATTATACATTTTTCGTATCAATGTTCGCGCTGAGTGATCCAATTAAACAAATTACGTTCAATTACGTGAAATATTTAATAAAATCAAATGTTCATCCAGAATGTAATATATCCGACGAAACGCGGCAACGTGTTGGCGAGCGGACGGCACGTCGGATATATTTAGAGCGAAAGAGGTGAACGGAGGAAATTAAAAAAAAATAAAAATAAAAAAACGCGAAAAAAAGTGGCGTCGATGCTTTACTTACTCGCGTGCAAATAGGTCGGCTTTAATAACTATCATGACGAACCAAGTGCACGAAAACAATGCTGTATTAATCCTACCTACGAGCAGTCGCGAAGAAGACGAGCAAAGCGACAAAGCGCGCGATTCGGTGACGAGGGGAGAAAGGGGAGGAAACAAAAAAAAAAAAGGAAGGGACGACATCGAGAAGTGGCACGGTCGGCTTCGTTTATTTAAACGCGGGAGACGAGCACGCAGGAAGTGCATTCTGGTCCCTTCCGTGTCTGCTATTAACACGCGACGCGACATGCTCGGACGCATGCAAATGCGTCTATATCCTCGTCGCCGCGTCTGTTGTGGAGCGATTAAATTTACACCATTCTATATATCGACCTGTGCGTTCCTCGAGAGATTATTCGTCATATTGGCGACGCTTTACGCATACGAATCGCGGACGACAAGAACCGCCTCACGGTTCCATTTCACGCGTCTCGAGACGCGGAATCGGCGACTCACGGCGATGATACGAGACCGATTTCCGTCGAGGGGAGTTCATTTGCATCTTAATACAAAGACGTGTGCTGGTAGCACCCGCGCCACCGCCGACGTGCCTGACAAACGGGCTCCACCACGGGAGCACGTCACTCGGGCTTGTAACGAGTCGCGATTGTAATACGTGTCCGTACATCGACACTGTTAAATATTTAAATTAGATCGAACGCTGTGAGAAAAAGAAAGACAGAGAGAGATAGGCACTTTGGTGTCGCGCCTCCTACGTCGAAGCGTGACTTGCCTACACTTTCTCGGCGAGGTATCGAAAGGAGGATTGACGACCGTCATTAGACGTAATTGCCACAAGATAAATAGGCGCACTTTGCAACAAAAAAAAATTACAATGTGATGATAAAAATATTCACTTTTTCTCCCATTCTCTAATACCATATCCGTTACTCGGTATCAGTCTTTTTTTTTTTTTTTTTTCTTATCTTCTTATCTTCTTAGTCGTTCTACATATAAAGTTTCGCATCGCATTCTTCTACATTCCACCGTCGAGCACGCTTAGAATAAAATTCTCGAAATTCTACACAGTGTACGTAGAAATTTTTGGCAGCTCTGATCGCTCGAAACGCATGGTTCGAAGAGTTGCCGCTCTGGAAATTTCCAGAGTCTCGATTCTACAGCGGACCGTTAATTGGCTAATCGAGACTTCTCTAATAAGGAACGCCCGTTCGGATACGATTGGCCATATTGGCACAACGCAAAACTGGGTCGTGGCAAACGCTTCTCGTCCTACGTTCGTCGTCTACGTTCTTAGCTCGCTAAGCTCGACGTTGACGACAAGGCTGCACGGTTGCGCAAGTTCGCATATTTAGGATTCATAGGCTCGGGTATAGATCCGAAGGACCGATAACAATACGTGGGTAGAAAGGATAAGGTTAACCAGTGACGGTATGCTAATATTTATCGCTGATCGCACCGGGAAGGACGTTATTGTATAAGGGATTGCTTCATTTATTATGCTTTAGACCAGCTTGAAAGCTGCCTCGATAATTTAGCCTTGAATTTTGATTTGACTAGACGAAAATAGCGACTCTCATATCTGTTTAATTATCGTCAACATATTGTAAGAAAAAAGATTACAAGTTGGTTTATCTTATCCAGTAGAAAAATATGTTTATGCCTTTATGTTGACATTATATGATAAGGCTTTTCCTTCCGGAGGGAGAAAGAGAAAAAAAATTAAGGATGTTTTGGCTGTACAATAGTAGCAAAAAAGTGTCAAAATTTAAAAAAAAAACATATTTCTTACGTTTATATTGTATGAAAAATTAAATAAATAAATCCGGATTATAAAAAGAATTAAAGTATCACAAAATAATATGGTTTTTAACGTCTTCGTAAAAAAAAAATAGTTGTAATTAATATTTTTCCTAATTTCTGACAAAAACTTTTTGATCGTGAATACCCCCTGAAATCAAGTGCAAGAATAAAAAAAAAAGAGTAATTTGCAGAAAAAGAGAGAGAGAGAGAGAGAGAAAGATAATATTTTTTTACAATTTTTAGTAAATAACTTTTAAATGAGTAATGGATTTAAATCAAGTTTTGCATAAATATTTATTAGAGTTTTCTTAATATATGTGAAAATTTTTTTGGCAATGTTTTTTCCTTGTCAAATTTATCAATAAATGCTTCAATACGCGATAAAAATCAATAGTAACTTTAAACCTAAATAATTTCCAAATTTTTAAGAAACTTGTGTTCAAGTTTTGCACAGATAGACAAAAAAAATAGTCGAACAGTTTACGAAATTTTCATGTTTTTATCAATGTTTCGACATATGACACAATCCTAGAATATATTTCTCGACGCAACGAACGCTAAATATATAGTCTGATTGCAAAAGATGGAAAATAATAAAATAATCGGCAGGTAATCTCTCGTACATCTCCGTAATAAAGCTTACGGAAATAGTTATCGATTCGCCGAGGTAGAGGAGTGTTTCTATAGTCGGCACTAAATCTCCCCGCGTCTCGATAATGAAACGCGAGGGACGAAGGGGCCTCGCCGGCAATTAATGGAACGCGCGTCGCGATCCCGTAAGAGACAAAGGGAACACCGCGAGGGCTCTCTCGAAAAGTTTCCGAAACGCGTTTGGGATTACACGGTGCTTGATCGCGCGAGCCGGTGTGATGTAATAAACGCGGGTGCGCACCGGCGGGTGCTATGTGTGCGACATGCACGGCCTCGAGAACACGGTCCCGAACGCCTTTTCCCCACGACGGGGAGCACTTGTATAAATAGCATTAGGATGCTACTCTACGCCGACGAGCGGACCGACGGACGGACGGACGGTTTTAATGAGAGGGATAGGCATTAGAGGAGGGCCCTCGCTCGTGTCGACGTCACACGACGACACGAGCGTTCATCGATCGTGCCACGAACAGGACACGGGGAATTCGAAAGCGCGGAGGGACGCGGGTAAGGAGGAGAGGGGTGCCGGACAGGAAGCAAAAATCTCCAGCGGGATTTAACCCTCTCGTGAGCGGGCGGTCGAAAAGAGGGAGAGATTAGTTTATTATTCCGGAGTAACGATCTCACCGAGAAAGAATCGTCCATATTTTTAACATCTGCATTTCTGAATATTTAAATGTTGATTAAATTTATTAATCAATTTATTAATCGATTAATAATTTATTAAATTATGTAGTTTAGTCGTTTCAAGTAAGTTTTTTCTCCGAGATAAGTTTGTTTGTGTACCTCAATGATTTAAATTAATTCGATTTATATATAAAAAGCTGGAACATGGTCGCGAAATTACATCGAACATACATGATAACAACAATATTTCTTTTCATTATTTGTTTGCACGATATTTGTTACATAATCCTCTTGTGTAATCGCGTCATTCCTCACGTCGCAGACGTCGGGAAAAAAACTTCACTAAAAATATGTTTCGTAGCGTATCGCTTCGATTAACATTCATCGTGCGACTTTGTAAATCAACAGGATGTACATCACCCGTTGATAAGATTCTGCACGTTTTGCAAGAAGTGCACATCGTGTCGAGTAATCAAGTGATAATTTAAAAAATCTGACGCTCCTATCGTTTTCTCGGTGATGTAACGATCAATCAATACAGT